TGCAACTCGACCTTTGGTAGAGATCGTTGAGATCTATCTTTTAGACCATTCCATAAAAAATAGAGCCAATCAGAAAACAGGAAAGCGGTTGTAAATGCTACGGTATTATGTCCAGCCAACCAAAACAATTACATTTAACCTTCCCATCATGGGCCTTAAGGCTTGTGAATATACAGAAAAAATGCAAGTGACTCGAAAGTGTTGCATGACAAGTAACTGATCCGGGTAAAATACGAGCTTTTGTTCTGAATGCAACTTCTCCCTCTATCTGTTTTTCTGTTTTTGTTTTTGTTTATAGATATACCACAGGAGAAATGTCAAATTTTTAATTTTGCGTCACATGCACGTAAAACATCCCTGACAAGACGATTGAAAACAGTGCATTTCACAGCCTGTTTTCAGTGGGATACAAAGTTTAGATACAAAGAATGGTTCCAAAACTGATTTGACAATTACAACTTTCAATGAATCGATGGTTAATCTAAATTTAGGGGATGATATGGATATCATGCCAATGTAATTATTTAATTTTTCACAGAATAATTCATTATTTTTAAGCTCTTTTAAGAATACATATTAATAACAAGCACAGCTTAGCGATGGCTTTACAATTAAAATCAGACATTTCTAAACAAGGTTTATTAAAAGGAATCCTCAAATAGCAGCAAGCTCCTCTGAGGGGTACCATCAGATGCTCAGACATAAAATCTGTCAGAGGATATACACCAACACCTTTAAAACTGCTCTTAAAAAATATTTTTAGCATAATATCAACGCGTATAAATGTCTTTTTTATCCTAAAATTTTAATGTATATACTTTTTTTTCTTATTTTCTAGTATTTTTAAATTTTCTATTTGCTGTATTTATCTTAGCATTATCAATATTTGTAATTTAGATTGAGGGCCACTAGTTCATCAGTTTTTACTGTCGTGCTACCCTCGAAAAATAAAGTTGTTACTTTATTACTTGTTATTAATGCACAACACCCATCTCAATGCGATAGTCTTTTGTCATGGCTCACATTTTCAGTGCGCGAGTCCACATCGTTTGTCTGGCAAGATAACATGTTTTCCTAGGAAGCAGGGATGGCGCAGTGGTGAGAGCGCTCGCCTCTCACTAATGTGGCCGGGTTCGATTCCGTCCCGGTGCCATAATTGGGTTGAGTTTATCGTTGGTACTCTCCTTGCTCCTTGCTCCGGGTTCCTCGGTTTTCCTCCCTCCACAAAAACCAACACTCCAAATTCCAATTCGAACAGGATATAGGAGCTGCCTGAAAACCAGTTAAGGCTGATGTGGCTTCCTCTTAAAATATTGTAATTCATTTATTTCTGCCATATCAGTGTGAACGAAGACTGTTTAGTTAAGTTTCTTTACGCGTTGTGCCACGATCAAAATTCTTCCTTGGGCAACATTTTTTGAATGTACTATCCATGGTAGAAATATAAAGAAGTTTTTTTCATTTCATTATTCTAGAAAAAATTAATAATAATAATAATAATAATAATAATAATAATAGCGATAATAATATATGATGATGATGAGGAGGAGGAGGAGGAGGAGGAGGATGTTGATGATTATGATATTATTAGCGGTAAAATGATGTACAAATTTTACATTTTTTTAAAGGTATATTTCTTTATCAAGAACCTGAACGATAACATTAATTATCGAGAGAATCAAAACCTGGGGAGCGTTAGATCATTTCTTTAATTGCGTCTTGTTACATCATTACCTGTTTATACGCCTAGTTAACCTTGATATGTACGCTTTCCACTTGTTTCTATTTTAATTAGATGACTATGGATCGCAATTAAATGCAGCCGAAATATTGTAAACCTTCCTCGCTGTAATAAACCAAAACTTGGCTTCAACTGACAGTGATAACAGTTCTTGAACTGGCGATAATTTGTTTATTTTCTATTGCAAATTGTCAGATGGTTCTGCCGAATTTAGTACAATAAGTGTTAATGAAAGCGCGTTTATCTATACAATTATTAATTGCAAATTTAACCGTTTTATGTTCTTTCTTTGTTGTTATTTTTGTGGTATATGGTTTGCGTTTCTTTGCCAAATCATTCCGCTTCTTGGTCAGCCAGAGTTTCAAGGGAATACCGGGTTATAGATATCGCGCGAGAGAGCAGGAGAAAGGGAAAAAAGCGAAATAATGCCCCTAGCCTCTAAATAAGGATAACAGGTGCTACAACAGGCTTACTTGATCTACTACCCTTGCTGCTACACAATGTTGTGTCAGAATAGGCTTCATGAACTGTACCCAAACCTTCCTCGTACAATCTGGGAAACGAGCATTGAGACTGCGGCCTTGCAGCTTTTATTTATGGCTAAGCCTTTAAAAATATGAGCGCAGTTAAGAGAAATTAAACTCTGTGAGTTCAACGATCAAAGGTAAAAACAAAGCGGCCGCACTAAAGGTTGGTCAGTAAACGAATATTTTAAAATCACAGTTCTAGTTTAAAAGCGGTCATGCGGGGAATACCTTACTTAATTTAGATTTTACTCATGCAAGTTACGAATTTTATAGAAACCAAACATCTCGTATTTACGTCGTTATAGAAAATTTTAGTTTCGCGTTGCATTTTTTTTTAATCGCAATTTTTTATCTCATTTTTTTTTCGGAAAACTGAAAGTTCGATTCTGAATGACGTCATGTCCCAGTTTTCATTTTCCACATTTGAATTGTTTTCCTTTTATCACGTGTACATGGAAACAGAAACACGTCAATTTCAGCGATTTATTTTATTCTATTTTTATTATTTTGGAAAATGCATGAATAATAAAATTGAACCAGAAGTTTTAATTTTCTGAAACAAGATTCCAGAAACCTGATTGACCGTTGCATTTGGATTGTAAAGGTAAACTTGCCGTTTGCACTGGATTTTCAAGCAGAGATAGTCAAACAACGTAAAATATAAACCCCATGCAAACCGGACTTATTTTCATCTTGGAAGATGAAGCCGACAACCGGTAATTCCTATAGAGAACACCTCCAAAATGTTTCCTTTAACGTGGCTCCATAGGGTAATCATTTATGGCGTTGCGCGCGCAAGTGTTATATTTTGAATGCCGTTTTTGCATTCGTATTTACACCCAGTCCTCTCAACTAATTACATGTAATAAGCAATGATTAAATAGTGTTCTACTATCATCTCTGTTAAAATTATTGGTTTTAGTCTTGAATTAGAAATGCCCAAACAAATACGTTTTTTTACTCTTTTATGGCTCTACTTGCGATTTTCTTGACTTTCCTTCGGTGAAATCTTCCAAAATTTTCACAGCATATCGCTTCCTGCGGAACACGAATTTTAAACACGAAAAAAGTAGGGTTTGTGAAGGCAGGTTTTTCGATTTTTGCAAATTTACGTCTGCGAAAAACCTGGTCTTATAGATTTCCCTGAAAAACGAGCTCCGACTAAAGCAAAATATTTACTACCAATCTGCCAAGTTTTACCGAAGGAAACGTGAGTAAATTCACTGTCAGTTTTGCTTGTTGTGCTCATGTTGACGTAATAATATATCGAAAAACAATGACGTTTTCCTTCGAGCGCGCGCAGATTACTTGAGCTTTCGTCCTCACCGCGCGTGCGATCGTAAAACTATAGCGAGCCACCTTATGGTCCATAACATATAATGATGACATCACATGACGTAGAAATGATGTAATTACCTCTAAATAATCAACCTTTCTTTTTTGGTACTAAACGATAGAGAACAATTAAACCTACCTCAAAACCGATGAAGAAAGCTCAAGTTGTCGTAACAGTTATTGTGAGAATGTTTTTTTTTCCATTAAAAACAGAAAAAGTCTTTTAAAGAGCATTTAACATGGAAGCGTCAAGTTCCCTAACCAATCACAAGCCACAGCAATTTTTTGTCCGAAAAATTTTTGCCGATATCACCAAATTTAGAGTTTATTGCTTTAATTCTTTCAAAGTTAAAAGCATTCAAACTTGGTGAGAACCTCAAAAGCTCCACAATCGACGTTTTAAATAGAGCAGTAAAACTACCGCCACCTAACGCGAATTTATTATCCAACTGTAGCGAATAACGTCCAAGTAACAGTACAAATATACAGCGATATTGTACAATTATTTGTGTAGTAGAAAATCTGTTTGCCGTACAGGTCTGCGCGCGCCGCAAAATTGTCACACTCTCCCTCTTTCATTGATGAATTTATTGACTACAGCAGTTGAACAATAAATTTCTTACTAGATGTTTTGGTGTGTAGTATCGCAAAATACGGCACAACTCGTAAAAACATACAGCGATACCACACACCAAAACATCTAATAAGATATATTTATAATGGTTTCTGACTAGGTGAGTACTGGAAGGAGACGATACATACGCACTAAGACCAGACCGGCCGCTACCTGTGACTGAACGACCGTTGTAGAATTTAAAGTGGGAAAAACGAGAGAGTTGGAATAAAAAAAAGAGTTAATTTAACATAATTTAATCCAGTTCACATAAATATTTCTGTCGATCATATACATAGACGAAAAAGAAATATTACTTTCATCACATTGGCATTCACTCTAATTTATGCGCTGGTGAGATGTACATTATGAAAGCATTTAAATCATTCACCACTCCGAGAAACAAGAAGACATCGGGGGACCATCTCGAAGTTGCTTATGTGATTACTGAAGTCAAACAACAGATGAGAAGTCGTGCTGTACCCAGTAAATGTCCCACAAGTGACTGCAGGCCTTTTCTCGCTTCCAAAGTGGCTAATCCCATACTAAAACAATACTGGCGATGGCTATAAGATTTCATGCTGTGGCCATGCAGTCATCAACAGTGTAACATCAGTAACAATTTGAAACGTACCGATACTAGCCAATGTCAATGCATGTCGCAATGTTGTTAATTATTGTTGTTATGTGCAATTTGAATAACAATACTTATACATCCGGAGTCTCACATTCATGTGAGAAATCCTTTGTTTGGAAACATCAGTACGAGGCTAAGGATGTATAAAGTATTGCTATTCAAATTTAGGCGCAATTTATGCAAAGGGTCTATATGTTGAAACGAATGGTTGCTTTAAGTAACTATCATTTGCCAAATGTAAATAATGAAAGTTGACATCAAGACCTACATATAAATCAGGCAAAATGATTGCTATATCAAATTCAAGTTTCGTTTCGGTTTTGTTGTATTCAAATTCAGAAAACGTATCGGTCTTCGTAGAATGTAGAAAATAAGACGGATTCTCAGTTTAAAGTTTAGCAAGAAACATGAAAACAAGATTGTTACACGCTGCCTTCCTGCTTTACATTGGAATAGGTGAGGAAATTTGTGAACAGGAATAATTTTAATCGTACATGTACATCCATTGTTTTGAACGGGTACACAATTTCTAAAATCTACGTTAAAACTGTCAGGTATCGTTTTCCCGGCAACTCTGTAGTCCACATCAAACCATTTGTCAATTAGTCACACAAGCGCAGTGTCCATGCATGTATAATGGCTACCGATCAAGGTGTAGATCGCCTCCATACAACGTTTGCGGTCGTAAAACTTGCAACCTGCCATTGTGATCCTTCGAGAATGACAATACGAGAACTGGAAATCTAAATCAGGCTCATATGCTTGAGCTAGCTATCTCGTTTGACGCCATTTTTCCAGGCTAAATCTGCTAGCGCTAAATGTATACGCCAATAGATAAAAGCAACATGCAAGAACTGGTCAATGTCATACGGAGTATCAAAGAGGAAGAAGACGAGTTTCCAACATAGGTTAACTTATATTTTAGCCTGGAGAGAAGTACACAACCGTATTACAATGAGTTTAATTACACGACTGTTCAGAATTCATATCAAGCGATCGAATTCCTGTTGCGGTCCCCACTGTTTTATCTTACGGGGCCCACATTGACATCAGCTTTAAAACCTAAACTGGTTACCCTGTGTAATATTTTCAATTGCTACTATTATTATTATTATTATTATTATTATTATTCTTTTCATTTTACTTATTATAATAATTTTATTTACACATCATCGAATAGTTACAAAACATTACGAGCTATAATAAGAAGACTGTATTTTATCGCTTGTTATAAATCACATAAGATGAAAAACAAAATAATGGCTCAGCTTCCAGAAAATGTGACAAAATATTAGCTTAATAAAAAAAAAACTAGCTATATAAGTAGTCTAAACATCGCATTAAGCATAAATAATGTCAACTAAATAATGTCAATTATTATTATTACTATTACTATTATTATTACTATGATTGTTATTAAAGTTTTAGTGAAGAATTTTGATGAGCGCAATAAAATTGTTATTATTCTTGAATATTATTATTACTATTATTATGATTACTGTTATCATTATTATTATCATCATCATTATTATTATTGTTATTATTAATAAGAAGAAGCGTCAGTACTCAAGCAGAGTCCTCGACGTTGAACAGGGAACATTCACATCTTAGTATTCGCTACAACCGGCGGAATGGTACCACAGTCGCCTTGCGGAGCTGATAGCGCTAAAGAAGGGGGAACAGTACGCTAAGACGATGTCCTGGATCAGGGCAAAAACGTCGTTTGCACTCTTGAGATCCACCCTCATCTGTTTGAGAGGTGATAGGACAACTAGGAGAGTCCCCTGTAATGTCAAGAATGCGGACTTTGACGTCGAAACTGCTGAGGGAGCTGCTGAGGGATCTGTTATTACTATTATTATTATTATTATTATTTATTATTATTATTATTATTATTATATTCGGATTTTACCTTTTTTCCTTTCTGTAACATTTCTACAACATTTTTTTCTTTTCTATGTTAAAAAGGGGGACATGTAGGGATAGGAATTGCCTACAGTATACACATTACTATCATTAATTTACACACATTAATTTACCATTACTTGTGTACATAGTCACTTAATGCTGGTGAATGCTTACAGAGTATGATTACGTAGGTAAGCTATTAAAATGTTTTACATAAATTATTTGAGGGAAAAAACTTAAGGAACAACAGAATTTCTGTTTGGTTGTTGTTGTTGTTGTTGTTTGTTTGTTTGTTTGTTTTTTTTTGTTCTTGTTTTTTTTTACCAGACACATGTAAGATTCAAGTTTGTATGAAAAAGTACTCATTAAAGTTTGATTATATTATTATTATCATTACCATTACCATTACCATTACCATTACCATTACCGTTACCATTACCATTACCATTACCATTACCATTACCGTTACCGTTATCGTTATCATTATCATTACCATTGCTATGTATCTCTCGGTTGTGTTCAATTGTTTTCTTTTTTCCCAATGTTGTTGTTGTGCCCGCTGTTGTTGTTATTTTTGTTTTGTTTGCCTGTTTTGGTTGTCCTGAATGATTACGTTAACTTTTAGTATAAATCTACTAGCGTTTTATCACGAATGCTCTTCTCTGATTGGCTACGTACGCTACTAACTATTTATTCTTCGATAGATAGTGAGTAGCGTAGCAGTGTGCCCTTGATAACAAAACCCTTCTTGGCGTTTCCGAAGTGTCTGTGAAAGTTTTGAACGTCTAGTGAATTTATACTAAAACAATTAGATTATTCGCTCTCGATTTCTATATGCCCTGTGCCCTCGTCAACTATCACGCGATAGAAATCTCGACCTCACAATGTAATTGTTTAATATGAAACATTTAAATAAAATATACGTCGCTTTTCAAAGCAAGGCAACACTCTCATGGATCTTGTACTTATGTCGTATTATTTGGCCTACAGCCAATGCCGCTATTATGAGGTGCTACAAGTGTGTCTCCAGTTCAAGCTGGGACCATTGCAATGACAGTCAAGTTGTTGAAGACTGTCTTTCGGATGAGGAACAATGTGCTCAATTCCTCATTCAAGCCTATGATCCAGTATCTGGTTCAAGTAAAGCAAATTACCTCAAAGGTTGTGCGTCAAAGAGAGTGTGCCATAAACGTCAAACTTCCAAAGTGTGTGAAGATTTTCGGAGGAGAAACTCTGGAGCGCGAATAAGCTGCCAAGTCTTCTGTTCCTCTGGAAATCGCTCAAACGAAGGAAAACCACCAGGTATTGATCAATAAGGTCTTAGACGAACAACTGTAGAAAATTTTTAAAATTTTTCTTATGTCCCCAACTCATTTTAGCGCGCTCATGGCACTTTGTCGGTTATCGTTCTAAAATAGGGCATAGAGGCATTGTATAAGCATTCCTAAACCGTAGTTTTGTTTTATGCTGATTAGAAAAGAGGTCTATTGAGAAGCTGAAGGTCGTGCGTTTCTGTGACTTATACTAGAAGATTTCTTAAAAACATATATTGATTAAGGCCTAAGAAAGACACAAGAAAAAACTTCAAAATTAAATGCTGAACACTTAAAATGACAACAGGACATAAAATCTCTAACTTCGATCTTTACTAGTGTGTTCCAGTGCAAATATTAAGCTTGAGTTTTATCCGAAAAGCGTTATGTTTACATGTATATTCGATCTAAAGATGTGAAAAGCTCTTTTTAGTAGATATATGTACCAAGCTTGTTGTTTAAGAAATTTTATTTCTGGAACTCCATCCTTCAGAGTTTCTACTACCTCGTTACTTTACACTCAAAGAAAACTAAGCCGTAGATAGTATGATAAAATCTAAGCACCAGGGCCGTACAAAAACGACCGATTGCGCCCAATATTTCCCAATACTTATGGCTAGAGTAAGCTACGTTAGTAATTGGTTTATTAAATGTCACTCAAAAAGGAGACAATACACGGCCGACCGTTGCCGTTTCCATGGAATTGGTTCGCATGGCAAAATCCCCATCTAGAGAGAACCAAGCACGTTGAACGCTGGAATTTATCTCAGTACTACCTTCCCATA